AAGATTCACATCTTTTAAAACTCAAATAATAAAAGAGAATGTACAGATATCAAAACAGGTATGTGCACAAGTATGTTTGCCCCTAGTTCGTAAAAATATTTAGCACACTAGGCTGCTTACTAAAATATTGGAGGTCCTGGTACAATCACAGGCAAATCAAGAGAATTCTGAAAATCTGCTTCTGAAAACGCAACCATTAGAAATTCTATAAAGGTTCTATTCTGACTCACATATGTTCATCATAGGGAAAAGTTGACTCAGAGACAACTTTTCCCACCTATATTTTAAAGTTGACCCCTGATTTTATTTAAAAAAGTAATCAATATATATGAATGTATACATGAAATATATTTAATCAAGTCAGATAAGATCTATGAAGTCAGAATCAAATCATAGGTGACTCTCCAGCAGTTTTTTGGAGGGTGTAATTTGCCCAGCAAACTGATTCTCTTTCTCCTGAGGAACCTTCGGTGGATTTAAAAAAACAAAATAGGGAAGAGTCCTATGTACCTTTCACGCAGTTTATCCCCAGGGTGATGTTTTATAAACCTTTAGGAAACAATTCACATAAATGACATTACCACTCTTAGACTTACTCAGATTTTCCCAATTTTGCTAGTAATGTGTGCATACGAGAGCTCTTGCTGGTGCAGCACAAAGGAGATTGCACTGCTAACCCCAAGGTCAAGTCTGTCTGATTGTTTGAATCCACAAGCGGTTCTGAGGGAGAATGATGGGCAATCTCCTCCCATGCGATGTGCAGCCTCAGAAACCAATAAAAAGACAATTAAAAATCAATTCAACTCAAAATTATTGAGAAGGTGGCTGTGTCTGTGTGGTACATGTGCATATATAAGTGCGTTAGTAGAGATTTGGTAATATTTTTAAAACTACATTACAAGGTGTCAGTAATTTCCTAAGAAAAATATCAGCAATATTTATTTGTAAAATTCTTTAGGTTTAATGATCATATGATCTTTCTTGTAACTACTCAATTGGGCCTTTCTATTGTAAATACGTAAAGGCAATACCTAACCAAATGAGTACAACTGCATTATACCAAAATTTAATTCTAAAAATCAACTTTGGGTTGGATTTGGCCTGTCAGTCTTGGTTTGTTGAGCCTTGTTCTATGTTATTCATCATCAATTTTTGTTAGAAAAAAGAGGAGCAAAAGCTTTTTTTCTGAAGAAGGAACTCATCGTATTATTACAATTTTTTTATTTGTTTTGATATATCTCTATAAAATGTATAACTAAACAATGTATATATTTCTATATAAAATAGGTAAATTATTTTGAGTAACTATCTTAATATTTTTGTTAGTTTCTTTCTATAAGCTATTACTGGGTGCTATAATGGAATATAGCAATCAAAACAATTTCAGACCTTCAGTTTTAGAGAATCTTTTTCACATTCCACACTTGGCAAAAAGCACCCTAATAGGCAAAATATTTGAGGGTTTTTGTTATGTTTTATTCCTTCCACTGAAATGAAATTATTTTAGAAATTAGATGTACATTAGGCAAAACACCAAAACAATTAAAAACAGACCCACAAATTCTGAAACCTGAGGAAATCACTAATCCTGGCAAATATCTCAGAAAGATTGATGAAATATAAAGAGATGAAGTATAAAGAGAAAGTACTGCTTTAGTCATAGTTATATTAAACATAGTTACTGTAAGTATGGAAAACAAAATTTTCAAACTATTATTTTTTAAAGTGAACATATAAGGTCAACCTAGCTTTTCCATATATTCTATGTTGACTTGTATATTTAATTTGTACTATGCATAAGCATCCCGGTAAATACAAAAATAATTGTTTCTATGCAATAATCATTATTTTATATTCCTGAGACACTGTATCAAAAGGAATTGGCAGATACAGGAGAATTTAATGAAATAACATTTGAGCAAGAGCCTATGGTGATGAAGGAAGAAGTTCAAGCTGCTTTGAAGGAAATAGCAAAAAATAAGGCCCCAGGAATAGATGTTAAACCAACTGACATATTTCAGCTAACAGATGCTGCCCTGGATGGGCTCACCAAGTTGTGCCAAGAAATCTGGAGAACAACCACTTGGCCAACTGACTGGAAGAGATCTATATTTGTTCCCATTCCACAGAAGGGTGACACAGCAGAGTGTGGAAACTACAGAACAATCTCATTGATTTCACATGCAAGCAAGATTCTACTGAAGATTATCCAAAAATGACTGGAACAGCACATCAAAAGAGAACTTTCAGAAGTTCAGGCCGGGTTTAGAAGGGGTGATGGAACTAGGGATATTGTAGCTGATGTTAGATGGATCTTAGGTGAGAGCAGGGAATACCAGAAGAATGTCTATCTGTGTTTCATTGATTATGCAAAGGCATTTGACTGTGTGGATCATAACAAACTGTGGCTGACTCAGAGAAGGATGGGAATCCCAGAACACTTAATCGTGCTAATGTGAAACTTTACTGGGACCAAGAGGCAGTCGTCAGAACAGAGCAGGGTAACACTGCTTGGTTCTAAATTGGGAAGGGTATATGCCGGAGATGTGTTCTATCTCCATAGCTTTACAACCTGTATGCAGAGCAGATTATCAGAGAGGCTGGGCTCTATGAGGAGAGGTGTGGAGTTTGGATTGGTGGAAGATCTATTAACAATCTGCGTAATGCAGATGACAGAACCCTGCTTGCTGAAACTGAAGAGGACCTTATGCACTTACTGCAGAGGGTCAAGGACTGCAGCCTTCAGTATGGACTGAGGCTCAATATCAAGAAGACAAAGATTCTCACCACTGGACCCACTGGTAGCATCAGGAAGGATGGTGAAGAGATTGAGATTGTTCACAGCTTCAGTTTGCTTGGCTCCATGGTCAACACTCTTGGCACCAGCAGTCAGGAAATAAAAAAACGTATTGCTATGGGAAAGTCTGCTGTTAGGGATCACTCTAAAGTACTCAAGAGCATCGGTGTCTCTCTGGAGAGTAAGGTGCACCTGATACAGGCCATAGTCTTTGCAATCACTTGTTATGCATCAGAGAGCTGGACAATGACTATGGAGGATGGAAGGAGAATAAATGCCTTTGAGTTGTGGTGCTGGAGAAGAGTATTGAAAGTACCATGGACTGCCAAGAAAACAGATTCATCCTGGAGAGGGTTAAACCAGGCTGCTCCTTGGAGTCAAGGATTCTGGGGCTTCATCTGACATACTTTGGACATGTTGTAAGGAGAGACAGGTCCTTGGAGAGGGACATAATGCTTGGGAGTGTGGAGGGACAGCACAAGAGGGGAAGACCCTCTATGAGGTGGATTGATTCAGTGACTGGGGTAATTGGGATGGGTGTGTCAGAAGCAGTGAGATTGGCAGAGGATAGGACAGGGTTTAGGGCTGTTGTACATAGGGTCGCTATGAGTTGCAAACGACTCAAAGGCACATAACAACAACAATAACAACAACAATATACAATAATAAATAATTGGTTGGTCAGGGGACAAAATTTGTTAGAGAATAAAATGTGAAATTAATTTAAAAGCATGCCACTTACATAGTTTATGCTACCATATATATATTAACAATAGAGAAGAATATTTCCACTTTATTATCTCACATTTAATCAGAGAAAAAAACTTTTGTTGGTTTCAGAGGATAATGCTAATAGAATTCATTTTACCTTCTTTTAAAAATAGAACAGAAGAAAAAACAAACTGTAAACTAAAACAAGTAATATTCTTTCCCACAAAATTATCTAATTATTTCCTTTAATCATACAAAAGATGCTCTAATACCTACAAAAAATGACTTTTCATCACTTTAAAACCTCTAGTCTTCTTTTTTTGCCACTTTGGAAATAATAATAATTTGCCAACCTGAAAAATTAAGTTTTAATTTTTAATTACATTAATAGTGGAGGAGTACAATAACATTATATTTTATTTATACCTTTACGCTAAGAAAAAAACACCTAAAACAGTTTTAAGTATATACATACTTCTGGAACATTCTGAGAAATTTGGATAAGAACTCAACCAAGAGTTAAAAGACTTTTGACTTATTAGAATAATGACAGTTATACATATATTGCTGTTGTTGTTGTGTGCCCTCAAGTCAGAACCCACTCATAGTTGACCCTCCAGCAGATTTTCAAATGTTCAAGTCACACAGGAACAAAATTTCTCTTTCCCCATAGAGCTGCATATGAATTCTAATTGCATGCCTTTGGGTTGGCAGTGCAAGCCCTTACAGCTCAGCCACCAGAGTGCCTCTTATAAATAATAAGTCCCTTAAAATTTCAGGGTTAATAATAATTGTTATAAAGCAAATATTTTCTCCAGCAAAAATATTCAATGAATAAATGCATAATTATGTTAAAGCAGCTCAGTGACTCATTTCTATAGCATATTAACATATTTTTTAAATTAAAATTTTATCAAATTCAGCAGTACTTGCACATAATTACTCATGATCTCCAGTAGCACAAAAGTTCAGTTTTTAAACTATTTTTACTTATTATTTACAATTGGAATTTATTATAGTATAGCATCTATACTACATAGCATAATTGTAATTGTGCAGTGCAAACTGACATCACAGGTTTTAATCAGAAGATGTCATCACAGCAGTGCCTGGCATTCCCTATTCCCTCATTTCCACTCTAGGTGCTATTTGCGGGGTAGATTTGGCATGTTGAACGAATTGGCCATTAGGCATCCCTGAGATAGCTGCTTTGATTGGTAAGCCATATGGCATAATGCTGAAAGCTATAGCAAATTCTGAGTCATATTTTGGCCAGCCTTATACTCTTAACTATCAGAACTGTATCTATGATAATCACTGTTTTTATACTTTTTGCCATAATCATGCTCACTATTTGGTTTATTTACTTTCCAAAAACTTGCTGATCTTAAATCACACTGGAATATAAATTCTATCTTAGAGTTTAGAATATTAATGGAGAATGAGGGGGGGAATGGAGGAAATAACCATCTGAGGATCTCTGTGCACTTACCACGAAAGAAACAGTCTTCATTGTGAACAATGGTGATCTTCTGTTTTTTCAGGCATGCGGCTCTGTGCACTTCACAGTGGTTTTCATAAAATTGCCCATCAGATCCACATACAGGCTTGTAGTGTCGCTTGCAAAACTCCATGCAGGCACATTCTGCGTGGCCAATCTCTCTGTTGATAACACAGTGTCTCCCCAAACCACAGTACTTATTTTCACATGATCCAAAAGGGCCATCTTGAATCAAAAATCCTACAGATAAAGAACGGGAAAGCATTTAAATCCATGTGTTCAATCTTATCACTAAGTGTCATCAAGTTGGAATCAACTCCAAATGACCATCCAGTGGGGCTTCTGAGACAATAAATTGTATGGAAAGAGTTTCCCCATGTTTCTCCAATGGAGTAACTGGTGGATCTGAACTTCTCATCTTTGGGCAGAAAAATTTCCTATCCAGTATGCCACCAGAATCCCCTTATGTCCACTAGTATGAGCACTTCAAAACATGCGATAAATTTTAAATGGTTCTAAGATAATTATACGCACTAGATTTTAGCTGTTTTCAGGGATTGGAGGAAACCTTCAGATTAACTTTCCACAATTCACTCATTCAGAAATGTTGCCCATTTCCTTCCTCCCATTGGCTCTTCTCCCACTCCAGCCCAGGATCCCGAAAAAGAGTGGTGTGTGTGTGTGTGTGGTGTGCGTATGTGTGTGTGTGTACAAATCTATGTATATATGTGTATATATATATATATATATATATATATGTAATTAAATTGCTCTCATTCATGACCTCACCCTTTTTCTTGCTTGTTTTATGTCCTTGAAAATGACTTTTTTGCTAGATTATAACTTGAGGGTAATTTTATTAACCATTTCTCAGAAATGTACTAAATATTACATGCAACAATCTATGAAAAAACTTAAGAGTTACCTTTGGAATATATTAACCACTAAAATGTCAAATATTTCGTTAACATGTTTCTAAAAGAATATAGACACAAAATACATAATGTACACAATGAAAAGCAAAAGGTCATTGGATCACAGAAATGTGTTGATAGGTTCTGAATGCAGGCCCATACATTTCTCAATTTTGTCACTTTGCAGTCACTGATGCATTTCGTAACAAAAAGCCATGAGGATGTTGTTTTCCTAGTTATTTATTAAGGGATCTCTCATGGCTTAGTGGAAAGAATCTGCACTGCAATCCTGAAGGCACAAAGTTTGATGCTACCAGCTTCTCTGTGAGAGAAGGATGATCTATCTCCTCCTGTGTGATTAATTGCCTCTGAAAATCCACTGGAGTGTCAACTATGGGTCGGTTTCAACTCTATGCTACACAACAACAACAGTTACTTATTCAGATTAACATAAGAAAAGTATAGGTGATGAATCCAGTGGTCTTCCTAAAAGAAGACCAAAAAGAATCATTCCATTCTGGTATTTTAAGTAAATTAATCTTTGTCCACTTTAAGAAATTATTCACTTAAAACTAAGAAAGTGCTAAAATTAGCACTAAAGTTTCATTTTGGGGACTAGTCTAAGAATATTTTTACTCAGTGGTTATTATTATCATTGTTTTTAAAAGTTTTTCACAATATAAAGACAATATTTCTCTCTACAAGGTACATCTGTACTATTAATCAAATCTATACAGTATAAAGCATGAAGAGATTTTTCTTCAGGAACAATACGGTAAAAATAGAGGATTAGTGAAAAAAGACCTTTATCTGTATACAAGGTCAGTAGTTGCAATAATAAGTTTAAGCACATTAAAGGTTTTTTTTAAAAAAAGTTTTTCATTATTCAGTGTATGTTTTCTTCCCTCCTCCATTTAATCCCCTCCTCCAGTCCACTTTTCAATGAACCTCTTGTTCCAGTCATACATACATAAATCTTGTTCTTGTCATACATATATTACCTAATCATTTATTTATTTTGGACCATTCTTCTCTTTATCTATTCCAATGCAATGTTCCTTATCCATTATTTTCCTATTCTCCCACCAACCACCCATATTAGTCCTATTTTATAACATTGCACTATTTGTCCTTTTGTGACTCAGCATAATGTTCTCCTGGCTCACCTATGTGGCGTAGTATTTTATGAATTCAACAAACAAATGGATAGAAAAATTATGATACATTCACACAACTGAATATTAATAGCATTGAAAAACAGTAGAGATTTTGAGGATGGCAGAGGATTAGGTAGTGTTTCTCTCTATTAAAAGATTGTCTATGCAAATCATAACAACTATGAGACATCATCTCACCCCAGTAAGAAGAGCAAAATTTAACAAAGCAGCAAACAACAAATGCTGGCGAGGTTGCGAAAAAACTGGAACCTGCATTCACTGATGGTGGGAGTGTAAAATGGTGCAGCCAATATGGAAGGCTGTATGGTGCTTTCTCAAAAAATTGCAAATAGAAATACCATTTGACCCAGCAATTCCTCTACTGGGAATATACCCTAAAGAAACCATAACTGCCACCCAAGCAGATATATGCACAGCCATGTTTATTGTGGCTTTGTTCACAATAGCAAATAGCTGAAATAACCTAAGTGCCTATCAACAAACGAATGGCTAGAGAAGCTGTGGTATATTCACACAATAGAATACTATGCTGAATTGAAAAACAAGGAACTCATGCAATATTATTCAAAATGGGTGACCCTGGAGGACATTATGCTGAGTGAAATATCTCAGTCACCAAAGGACAAATACTGCATAGAGCCACTCTTGTAGAACAGGACTGATATCAGGGTTGGGGTGAGACTGAGAAAGATGGGTTCAATAATGTATACTGCATTGAAACATATGAGGGAGAGAACAGTTTAAAAGCAATATATGATTGAGTAATATGATTATGACAAAAGTTGAGTCCAGAATGAAGGTTGCATAGTGGAGTATACTTGGGGTGTGAGGAAGGATTGAATACCAATGAAGAATTTTTCTTTTCCTTTGCAAAAAGAAGAGCGAACTGGGGAGATGAGGGGTGGGCAGGGAGAAAAATGCAACAATGAATGAATGGAAATCTAAAATCTCTGTAAATGTTCATTAAAAAATAATAAAATATTTTTTTAAAAATATTATCTCTGAATCAGAATCCTGTAACAGTATCTAACAACAATAACCTGTACTGTGATAAGTCTACTGATAGTGAAATGTTTGATCTATTCTTAAGCCAAAATTTCTATGGTTGTAAGACACCAGTTGCTCTATGAAAGAAAGATGTGGCACTCTACATAAAATATTTGCAACCTGAAAATTCTTTGGGTCACATCTAGTCTACCAAATGGGGTTGCTATGAGTTCGAGTCCACTTAAAAACAATGGGCTTCATTAATATGGTAAAAAACTAGAAATAATTTACAAGTTAAGAGAATGTTGTTGTTGCTGTTGTTAGGTGTTGTCTAGTAGATTTCAAACACCAATTGCTATAATTCGATACAAGGGATTGAACCCCAGTGATAGAAGACCAGAGGAATTGTTGGAAGACATCAAAGATATCATTCATAAAGAAAGCAAAATGTCATTACAAAGAAGGAAGAGATAGAAAAAACAAAATAGGTGTCAGAAGAAACTATGAAAATTGTTAAAGCATTAAAAAAAACCCAAAAACCAAAAAACATAAAAGATGCTGAAGTAAAAAAAAAGCTGAACAGAATATCCTAAAGAAAAGCTCAAAAAAGATAAAACGAAATTTTCAAAGAGCTGGAGTTAGAGAATTAAAAAAAAATTAGCTCAGCATTTCTCAAGCTGAAAGAACTGAAAAACAAATTCAAATATTGAGTTTCAATATTAAGAGATATTATGGGTACAGTCTTAAATGATCTAGAAAACAAACAAAAAATGATAGAAGGAATATGTAAAATCACTGTACCAAAAAGAATTAGTTGATGCTGAAAAAATGCAATTAACTGCCTCTGAAAACCTCCTGGGTAGTCAACTATGGGATGGTTCGGACTCTATGGTACAGAACAACAACAGCAACCATCTGAACAAGAACCAGTGGTGATGAAAGATAAAATTCAAGTTGCACTGAAGGCATTGGCAAAAAGTAAGTTCCCAGAATTAATATAATACCAATTGACATGTTTCAACTAACAGATACATCATTGGATGTGCCAACAAGTTTTTGCCAGGGAATCTGGAGGAGGGCTACCTGGCTAATCTGACTGCAAGAGACCCATATTTTTTCCTATTTCCAAATGGTTAAGAATAAAAATTCTAATTAAGGAAAGGAAAAATTAAACCAAACAGATACCTACACACAGTTCTCTGGCACTGAGTCAATCCCAACTTAGAGCTATATCTATATTGTAGGTGAGTATAAAGCTACTCCATAGGATTTCCATACTATAAGTTTTTACAGAATTTACAGCCTCATAACCTGGGACACAGGTAGGTTCAAACTATTGATGTTTTAGATACTAGGCAAGTGTTCTAACCTCCATACCACCAGAACTCATTCTGACAGTATTTAAGTCAACATCTCTCCCAGCAGAAAATTGAGGAACTTGAATGAATATCTAACATATATCTGTTTACTTAACTGTAAAATAGGGACTAAAAGGTGGTTATTACTCTCTCTTCAGAAACTGATGTAGCATACTAAGATATTAAAAGAAAACTATTTAAAGACTCAGTTTTCTTAGCTATCTCACAAAGAAACCTATGAAGTTATTTTTATTTATTTCTTTTCTTGAATATTTAAACCATCTAAAACTTAGTAAAAATCTAGCTATATGATTATTTGGTTAAAAAAAACTAATTCATTTTGTTAATAACAAGTTAATCCTAAATAAATATTCTTTTTTCATTTAGTCTATATTTGCACTGTATCTCAAGCACAGAACATGGGACATAGGGGTACCAGGCCATGCTCATCTCTCTGAAAGGGACAAAGGAAATGAGAATAGCACAGTTCCCCAATATCCCCAAAGTAGAAAGCAGATAAAGAAGCTGTGGCCCAGCCTCTTGATGTCTCAAGAGCTACACTAGCAGCAAGAGGTTCCTTTATTTGTTGTTACTTGAAGACTCACAGTTATGGAACCAAGAAATACTTAGGGAAATAAGTTGGAGAGTGGGGGAGGCAAAGAGTATCTCACAATACAAGTCCAGATTTAGCCCCACAGTCATAAGACACAGTCCCACAATACAGACAGGCTCTGGTTTCAGTTCACCAACACAAATTTAAGAAGCCTCCAGTTTCCTCAGTCATCCAACAAGGATTGCTTCAC